TTCTCATCCAGGCTGCGGCTAACTGCAATTTCAACCTCATCCTGGTCGAACCAGGGTAGTGCGGTGTATAGTCTTGACACGTTAACGACCGCAATCCAGCTGAGGTGAGAATATCTTTTTGGAATTAAGGACATGTGAAATTCACTGTAAACATGAGATCTACTCATATCACTGCAAGAAAATTCAGTTACCATTCGGTTATCACTTTAAACGAAATAGGGTGAATATGTCTCAACTAGATGGCCCATTGGTAGTCTCGAAATCTTATTTATAAAGCGGTAAACGAGATATACTGCCCGAATTCATTTCCACAAAGAATCTGACTAACTAACAAACTATCTAATCTCATAATGTCTTCCTATTTTTTTCTACCCATGCTAATTTGAATACGTTTTTTTTCTTATTATACAAATTTTCTAGTTATGGATACATCAACTTTGGCGTTTTCCGCGTTCTAGCACCCGCTCAAACGCGAGCTTTTTTTCCGACTCCACTCAGCGTCATCACTACGGCCACTGTCTCGAGCTCCAGCTCACTTACAGAAGCTTCATTGGCCAACCAAACGGGGGCACGTCGAATTGCCCAACGTGGGAGCGCCAATTCTATTAGTGGCACGACAATAGAAAATTTAGCTACCGCTCGTTCCACTTTGGCAGCAACCTCCGTGCCCGCGGCTACGGCTGTTCAGGTGATAGTACTAGGCGCCGGCATTGCCGGCTTGATGGCTGCTAGACACCTCACATACTTCGGCGCTAAAGTCACAGTCCTTGAATCCAGAGTTAGTATTTGCCTTTCTCCTTGAAATGTATTCAACATTTTAAAAGTTTCAATATGTATATTTATTTATTAATTAACCCGACACTAGTCTTGTGACTAATGCCAAATTCTCTTTAGGCCCACTTTACCTGTAAGACAGCTTACAGGATATTTTGCTTGCACAAAGAGAATTAAAAGCAAACTTTTACTCTTTTCAATACTTGCATATGTCTCAAAGGCTTTTTAGCTATATACATTCTTTGGAGCTGGTTTTACACATCCCTTCGCTTGAGGCAATGAGGCATGTTATCCTTACCTACTAAAGATATAGCTTTTGATTCTGAATCTC